AATTACCTCGAAGGGTTATGTTATGGCCATTGGGGTTGTGATTTTGAGATAAAATGTGGGATAGATAGACTATTGAACGCGATGATCACGTTATTTATCCCAATTTGGCTTAGCTACTGTTACTTCTCTTTACATCAGTCAACTTGATTGCAACTTATTGCGACTTGCGTCACTATAAGAATGTGCAAATCCATTGAACCACATTCAAGTAAGTATGAGGTAAGTATGCTTCAGTCACCAGTAGGTATTTGCAAGTAATGCAGTTGAATTGTGCATACGCTGGTTATGATGCAATCGTTCGAATAGCTTTGAGTCGCTTTGTTCCTTCATTTGTGTAATGAAATCACTACTAATCATAAGTTGCAGCACACTGTGCATTCACAGCGCTGCTTCAAAATGCAAGTGACGTCATAATGCACATGCAGCCATGAAAACGCTTTCCTCACGACGAAGGCGCTAACTGCCCTGGCTTTCCCCCTTCACTTCGTGCCTTTGACGTCATATTTCAGTCGTGCGAGGCTTTCGCCCCGACGAATCTCACCTAATCATCGCCGTCACAGTTGACGCCTCACTATGCGACGATGGCATACGATTCACGTTATCACAATGCTCGAGAGTTTGGTCTGTGAGAACGACATGGATGCATGCAACTTTCCCGTTACAGGAACAGGAACGGGCTTTAGGAATAGGTCAGATCACATTTTTAGAATGCTTTATATTGATGGATAATCATTCCAGAGTTACATTAAATTAGGCATTCGTAAGATGGCAGATTGTCATGCCGCATCTATGCCTACCTGTATCATGGCTCTGGACTCAGGGACAGATTTTTTTCAGGGTGTTATAAAATTGAATATTTCCATAAGTTTAATGGACCAAACGCTGCATGGCCTGTGTCAAACAACAATGAATAGCCCGGTTGTTGCCAACGATGGCGGCCTGGCTATTAATATTTAAGAGTTACCGGTTAGCCGTCACTCAGCATTCGGACGGTTGGACTCGTGACCCAAACCATTGTGCTAACCACTGTCCATGACTTGCACTGGAGGCCGCGACCTATCGGCATGGCATCAGCCTGACCCAGCAGCGGACAGGGGTATGTCACATGAGATGCTGACCGGGGCTTCGCTCAGCCTGGTACGGATTGAATAGTTTGCGGTTCATGAGCGGCTACTGCATGCATTAACAGAACTGAGCATACAGTTGCCATTCCAACAGAGGTGACCCAGATCGACCTCTTTGTATATCCGGTCAGTGTCCTGCTGTTTTCCCTTGACCAATGACCGGAGATAGGTACTTACATGGGCAGAGTGAATGCGTGTAACAAACGGATCACAATGCTGAGCGAATAGGAAAATCCGTTCCTGATACACATTTACCTACTTGCTCATGTGACCCCGGTAATTGGTAAATCACGCCACCTTACATTCCTTCACCCAACTGGTGCCCTACCGTCAATTCTATTCAGAACTACATCCCCAAGCCCTTCTGCCCAACCAGTGCCCTGCTGTATGTCCCAGTTCAGTCCTGCCCCCTCCCCAGTCCCCCCAGTCGAGTCATATCCCCTCGGTCACTGTCCTGGTTGTTCTAGTTCCCTCCCGCCGTTCCCTGAGGCCCTTCTGCGAAGGAGCTCGCCGGGTCCGGCTCTCCCCACCGTGGTGGTCTCCGGGCGAGGACCACGCGCCGCCGGCAGAGGCCGAGCGGTGTCCGCGCGCGGCTGACCCACACCGCTGCTCGGTGGAGCGGAACGGTCAGCCCGGCCGGCCGGCTGCCAGCCGCTGCCTCATAGAGATCTGTCCGAACCGCAGGGACCGGAGGCGGCCGGTGAGCCCCGGCGCAGCTGCAGACGGGCGGAGGAACGACTGACCCCGTGACCTCCCCGAAAGAGTGGTCTGCTCTAGCAGCTCGGTATGGTCCGGCCTCAGCGTCTGGTCCGGATCTGTCCCAGTTTTCACACGTTGTATTAACTACATATTCCCCTGGTACTTCAAACGGAAAGGGAACGTCATTTCTCAGTAGAACATTCTTCAATAAAGTCACTGCAGCGGGGATAATGTTCCGAAAACGGCAGCTTTTAAATCCCTCATGCGGATAGCCCATTGACAGCCGGTGTTTTGGCGGAAGTTGATGACCAGGACGGCGGCGTATTCGCAGTTCTGGCCATTTTTGATTCAGTAGAGTACCGGCACATACAATGGGATGGGTGACTGTTAAGACTCACAGGTAAGTAGAACAAAAGAAGACAACAATGTTTCAGCTCGGTTTACTCGCAAATGGCGTCAGGAGTGCAAATGCTTGTACTTCCCTAAAAATGTGCTGTTTCTGAGAGCCGTTACGAAAATGAAAAGGTTGGCTACGCTGCTATCCATTTTGGTCATAGTGGGTAGGAAACATAATGGGAGATAATAAATCACTGTATCTTGGCCTATTTCTACATCACATCTAATGTGATTTCTGTGCGTGTTTCCCCGTATGGCTTTGTCTCCTCCTACCGAACAACTCCATCACAACTGACAGCCACCGCGCCGCCAGTTGCGTCTTGACACAATTTCCATGAATGTTCCTCGTTAGCCGCACCACTCTCCCAAATCCAGCTAATGGAGTTGGCCAGCGAGCGGAAACCACCGCCAGTGTGCACCTGGCAGCCGGACCCACTGCATACAACTGGGACAGGCAGGCGACACACAGCCGACCCAAACAAACCCACACACGCGCCAGCCGCCACCCGCAGAGGCAACGCCGAGCGGCTGCTGAACTCATTTCTCGGCCGATCAGCTGCGTGACAACGCGACCTGACACCGGAGCTGCGTCCAGGACGGCACTGCGCTCCCACGGCCGGCCGACGGTCCGCCAATACCGTAATTAACCGACCCAGATAGAGAAGCGAGTGCCGCGGCTGCCAGCTCGGGCCGACGTCGGACGTTCCCGGTGCGACCGACAGACGCCTGGCCCGGGTCAATTAGCGTGGCGGAGCTAGGCTACCTTCTGTCCGAGTTTCAGAGCTGAGCTATTGAGGCGCGGCGAACGGTCAGCGGTAGGAGATTGCCCGAACGGGACAGCAGACTGACCCGAGGAGGGTCTGGAGTCTATAGAGATGGCCCGCGGAGACGGAAGGAAAGGACATAAGCCCTGCCTCTGACCGAATTCAACTGACTCTGATCTTAGCCAGGCCAAACCAAATATCCGAAGCTGAACTTCTGTTTTTTTTTCTGCTCATGACTCTGAGCCCAATTTATGCTCCTCAGTCCCTTCCTGAGGTGACAGTCTGGAGGTAGGAGTCCACCGTCCGCACTCCTCTGCCGTTCGATCCGTCCCGGGGACGGTTAGGCACGAGTGTGCGGGGCAGCGGAGCGTGGCGACTCGCCCAATGGAGCGCCCGACCGGCGCGGCGGTCGGTCGTTCCGCACACGGCTGCTGCTGCCGTGGCGGCGCTCCCAGGGACGGGGAGGCGTCATCTGGCGCCACGGGTCGGCAGACGGCGGCTGACGGTCGGGAGACGGACCGCTGTGTACCAGTGGGGTCAGCCCGGAACGGCGGAGGGTGACCGACGACAGCAGAGGCGAGACGAGACTGACTGCTGGGTGGAGACCCGCCGTGGCTCAGTGGCGGTATGCTATGCATAGCCTAAACAATGCATTATGCATGGCATTTAATATGTATTTCCAGTATTTTATAGCATGTCTGAGAGTCCAATATTTTGATATACCTACTTGGACAGACTATTTATCATTTTCGTAATAATTTGTAATGATTAGCCAGTTTTGAGTTGAATGTAGGCAGAGCATTAACCGTGGCTGTTGCTAGCATTAGATGTTTATGTAAATAATTGAAGCCACCGTTCCGGAGCTAATTGAAGCCCATCTCATCAGAAGTCCCGCAAGACTCGCCTTTCGGCACGGCGCCCAATAGGAGGTGACTGACAGGTCAACTCGTGACTGCACCTGCCCGAGACATGACTGACTGTTCACTTCGTGACTACATCTGCCCTAGGCATGACTGACTGGTCAGCTCGTGACTATATCTGGCCGGTGACAATGCACCTCGACCCCGTCTGGTTCGAATGCCTTTGAGAACGGTCACTGCCGTTCGCCCCGGGGAGCCTGACGCATCTTAGCAATCTGACCACCTGGTTGTGTAGTAAACCACCCCTACCGTGAATTCCTTCACGCCAAGGTTCATTATGATACAACATATGACATTATATCCCATGACATCGTGTTCTTTCTCATTGTATTGTCTCTTTGCATACCGTCGCAAATGATTGGGTTCCTATACCTTTGCGCCATTCCCATCCTCTGTGTCTAACCCCTAGTCATACCGTGACCAAGCATCCTATCCCATTCAACCCATCCTATCCATCCATCCCATCCATGCTATTCTGCGGAGTCCGTTTGGCCATGGCTGAGCGGCGTCGCTGCTCCCGCGAGAAGCCGGAGTCGGGAGCCGGGAGGCGAAGCGCGGCCAGAGAGCAGCAGCCGTGAAAGACGGCGCCGCCCGCGCCTCCCCGTGTGCACAGCAACGGTACCCTCACCGGCCGGGCGGGCCGGGACGCGCCGCCAAACCCACTGCCCGTGTCCCGACAGCGCGGCGGCGGGAAATGTGTCGCCGATGGAGGGAGGGAGGGAGGGAGCGCCGAGGAAGGGTGGGTGATGATTGTGTGGGTCTGGCAGCTGGTGGACGGCAGAATTTGGGTTATCGGGGACTCATACTTGGCCGTTTTAGGGGAAATCTGGCTATTTTAAAACCGGTTTGTAAATTAGCAGAGAAATTTAACTTCTGGGTAGTTTTCTCCTTGCGTGCCCATTCAACCGAGAATAGAGATATCGCTTCAATTTCAAGCTACAGTCATACTCATCCAGACTTGAAAGCTAAATGCATGGCACGCAGGTATGTAGAGTGCAGTGTTTGAGGGGTAACCAGTTGAAATTTGGATAGCCTCCTAGCTAAAACATGTAGTGTCTGGGTGACACTAATAAGCCCGACTGTGCGGTTGCGCCTACCTCCCCAGTGTTTGGGCCAGAGCTGCTCCACAGGCGGGCCGGGCGGTCGCTCCGGTGTTGTCTTGTCCGCCTTGGTGAGGGGGGTCGGTCGCGCCGCCTGACTGCCGGGCCGGGTCTGCTCCTCCGCCAGTCGAGACTCTGTCCGGCTCGGTCGCGGCTCTTCAGGCACAGTCCGCAGCTCAGGCCGTGTCGGTCGGACCGGTAGAGCCGCCGGGGTCTGACTCCGCGCCCTGGCGGCTTTGGGCTCCCTCTCCGGCACCTCAATCGGCTCGTAGTTGGTATGTGGCGGTCGGCTGGCCTTAGACTCCACCTCTACAGCTGTGGTAGTGTCTCGTAGTGCCCGCTCCTGCGCCCGCTCCTGAGCCCTCTCCTTGTGCTTTTTGCATGTGTGTCGGTGATGGTGATGCGGTTTGGCCGGGCTGACCCTCTCAGCTGCATTTTGCACAGCTCCGCCACCGCTGTTACCTCCACCCGCACCGCCGGCGATTCTATTGAAATGTTCGATAGCTCGGCTCGCAGCGCCGCTGCGCGACAGTTCCTCGCGAATCCGTGTCTTGGTTCGCTCGTCGTCCATGGCGATACCTCGCAGGGAGAACACTGCGCCACTGTCCGCCGTCAGGCGACACCACTCGATCACAGCACACACATGGGAGACTGCAGATCGTCACAGGACACTAACACCAACGGCGCCGGAGACTGCGTCTCATCACATGGCGGTATCGCGAGTTCGCAGGTCGGACCACTCACCAGGCCCAATCTCACCAAGTGCGGTAAACTCAATTTGTCAGCACTGTTCCGCCGCCACAGCAGGTCACTGCACCAACCACAGACTGACCGAGACGCCGACTCGGCTTAACGAATGTCCCGGCGCGTCGGCACACCTGGCGCGGTGGCGAACACGGCGCGTCGGCAGACCTGGCGCGTCGGTGAACTCGACGCGTCTCCAGCGGCGCCGGCACTGAGTCTGACCGGGCCGGTCGACCGGCGCGCCGCCGCGGCGTCACCGCCAGGTGGCCCAGCGCCGTCAGGTGGGGCCGGGACAGCCCGCTCGCTCGGTCGGTCGATCGGCCGCCGGTCCGGCCTCGTGACACATTCCGAGCACCGAGCTCGTGGACGGAGCGGCGTCACACCGACTTTCTCCGGTGTCGGGAGACCACGAGCGGTGTTTTGTCGACAGTGCCGGAACTGGCCACGGGGCACGGAGGCACGCGTGCTATGCATCACTGGCGGACGGTGGGATCTGCTCTCTCCGAGTGCCGCTCCACGGGGATCAGAGGCTCGATAACGCAGGCTATTCCAAGCGGCTCTGCTGCTCATCTGCATCACTCCCGTGTTGTCAGCTTTCAGAGCGGATCAATGGCTTATATGTGTTGTTTATCCGAGGGAGACTCTCGGAACGATAGCCATCAAAAATGCTTTTAAAATGACGGACTCTATGTATTAAGCTATTTCAATATTATTTATGTCATAGATACCTTTATCCCAGTTACAAGCATGGAATATGATCGAGGATATGTGTCATAGCATCATGAACCGTGCAGGAATCGGAGAACAATACTTTGAAATTTGAATGCATATCTGATAGACTGAAGACGAAAGGAAACCACACCAATCGAGCTTACGAGTTCGGTTGGTACTTATATAAGCTCGGAACGGTATAATAGCTGCTAGGATGACATACGAATGGCAATTCAATCTTATTTCGAGTTGAGTCTTGCCGATGCGTTCAACCTAACGAGCTTATTTCAGCCGTTGAAGAGAAATAGTTCAGGAATTTTTGTTTCCAGTTGCTGCTGTTTCAACTTGAACTGACCCACATTGTGGCCTATACCAATCGCGGAATGAACCGATAGTTCAAAGTAGGCACAGGAATGCGGCATGTGGCGGCGTCCAAAACTGTGCCAATGCCCTTGAAATGGATGGGAACTGACGATCGACAATTAGGCTGTAAGTATGCTAATGATGGTCCTGTCCAAGCTCACATATGTTACCTCCTGACACCTTATTTGCTGTTCAGTGACCACGTCCACAAAGCTAGTTAGGTCGGGTATACTGACTTAGCGGGTTTTTACATCGATGCGTGTCTAATTTACACGGTTCGATGTCGGATCCGTAAAGGCAGTGTTGGACACGGCTAAGAGTGTAATCGGTTCCCCTACAAAAACCTCTTACTTTTAGAACTCCTCGGATTTCGTTGCTGCGCAATTTAGGTCAAACCTTTTCTGTCGAAAGCTAGAAAATGTTTTTATGTGACATATTTTGACATATTTTCCTAAGTTTCGGACGCTGCGGGGACAATGGCCAATGACCCTTAACTTTTTATTCATCCACCAGCGGAAAGTAGGCTGTTTTTGGCTGTTCAATGACAATGTGTGCAAGTTTCTACTAGGGGGAGGGGGGGGGGGGGGGTAGTTTTCCATGGACGGTTTCTTACAGGCAACCGTCCATTAGGCCATGCAAGCTTTCAAAATTGGCTCTTGGAGAACAGTCATTCAAAAGACATATCACACACGTTTATCATTTATCAATATTGCTATTATACTATTACTCATGCAAAAGCCGTTACTTTTTATTGTATCGAGGCATATAATTTATGCAGACATAAATGTATGCTTATAAAACACCGTCAAGTTAAGCGTGGTGAACCTTACCATGTGTCGGCTCGTCCATGTCCTTCACTGTGCTGAGTCCCAGGCTATCTGAAAATAAAGAAAATGTATTAGAAACATGGATAAGTATACATCTTTTATTCTTACTTGCATTCTTTCCTATAGAACTCGAGTTAATTTTCTCGTGCACGGCAATTGTTAAATCATATAGCTTAATTATTAATATTTGGTCGTATTCTGAAACTGTTCCTGGCTTGCTACTAGTCAGTAGTCACTAGGACGCTGTCGATGAACTCTAGATGAGTAACTGAGTATCTTTAGAAGATTAGCTCCATTTTCAACAGTAGTTAGCAGTACAACCGCCTAGATATTGCATCGTGATACCGGTACAGGCAAGCATGGATGGCTTCACAAGTTATCCGAACAATTAGAGAGAACATTCCTAAGGCAAGCCCCCAGCATCATCCGTCCTTGGGCTGTCTCGATGGGTATAAAGTGAGTGATATAAAAATATGCAAGTCGACCACCTTAGCCTGTAGTGGCTGATGTGATAGTACCGCAACAGGCAGAATCTCACACTGCAAGTGTGGTGGGGCAGCATCTCACACTATAAGTGTGGTGGTCTGGTCTGGACTACCTACTGAGAGATTCGCTCGGGTTGCAGCCACCCCCTCCCGCTATTTGTTCTATAGGGAACACAGTGAAATAAACCGGGCATAAACACTTGACGATAAGATAAATAGGTCGACGACGGGAAGATTACCGTGTTCTTTTTATGACTAGAGGCATTGGGCTAGATCTACTACCAACTGGTGCGCCGTAGCGGCAGAGCCCATCTAGCTGAACGAGTGCCCCGGTCGCGGTGAAAAAGCTGTGGCCGCTTAAACGGTCGCAGGAGGGAGGGACAGGGACGGTTCTAGGACAAGGACCAAATTAGAACTGCTCCCCCGATGGTCTAAGACGAGTGCAGTGGGGTGGTATGATCGTCAGTCCGAAACAAGGAAGTTTGATCACAAGTATAGTCAAAGGATGGCTCTGAGGAGTGGATCGGAAGAGTGGATGGATGAATGGAAGAAATTTTCCTTATTTATTTATTTCATAACAACCACAGGCCGAGGCCCACATTAAGGCTGCAGTCGAAATAAAATTTCCCATCCCACCCACTCAGGCATTCAACCCGCTCTACCCTCCCCCTACACACATACACCAGACGCGATCACAGAAAGTAAGTAGCAAAGAGTGCTGGCTGACATCAGTCGATATCACTCTTTTTTGTGTGTTTTTTGTTTTGTTGGGTTAGGCCCTTTCGGTCTAACAAGACCATTTCAGAGCCGGAAGGATGATAGGAATTAGGGAGGGACATTGGTCTGGGCAGGCACCCTAGAGAGTCGCCGGGGCTGAGCCCGTCCAGAGGACAGGCCACCCAGCCCCAAGGCACTCACTGCACCCGGCTACGGGGTGCGCTCCCTCGGGAGCAGCCTGCATGAGATAAAGCTGCCTGTCCAGCCCGGAGGGAGGTTGCGGCGTGGAGGAGAAGGATTTCAGTATCCTGAGGATAGAAGCACGGAACGGTAGTTTAGTTGGATATGACAAACTCAAGCCAAGACCCCTGCTGAGCGACTTGGCCAGCCCAAGCTACTCTCTGCAGACAGCGCCATCCAGCGGCATTGTGAACAGATGGCGCCAGTGGGGTGAAAGCGCGACTTCTGCCGGTAGGTGGCTCTCTCAGCAGCAGAACTGCCCTCAGCGACAGTGCCTCCCTCTCCTGGCCCTTTGGCTGGTGGACGAGTACTGCCGCTAGGTGGCTCTCTCTCAGCAGCAGAGCTGTCTTCAGCGACAGTGCCTCCCTCTCCTGGCCGTTTGGCTGGTGTACGGACACTGCCGGTAGGTGGCTTTCTCAGCCGCAGCTGCTCCACTCTCAGTGACAGTGCTTCCCTCTCCTGGCTGTTTGGCTGCCTATTTCTAAAGTCTGCCTACCTATTTCTAATCTTAATGTTTTTCTTCAGTACTCAACGTAGCCCGTTCGGTATGGCAAAGCGAAAAAAAAAAACAGACTCTCAGAGAAGAAACTTTTGCGTAAGGTACAAATACAGTCTCCCGAAACAGAATAGAACACCCACCTTTCCGTGCTTCTATCCTCAGGATACTGAAATCCTTCTCCTCCACGCCGCAACCCCCCCCCCCTCCGGGCTGGACAGGCAACTTTATCTCATGCGGGCTGCTCCCTTGGAGCGGCACCGCTGCTCCTGAGGGAGCGCACCCCGTAGCCGGGTGCGGTGAGTGCCTTGGGGCTGGGTGGCCTGTCCTCTGGACGGGCTCAGCCCCGGCGACTCACTAAGGTGCCTGCCCAGACCAATGTCTCCCCCTAATTCCTATCATCCTTCCGGCTCTGCAATGGTCTTGTCGACCGAAAGGGCCTAACCCAACAAAACAAACAAACAAGAACACCGTTCCGTGCTTTTATCCTCAGAATACAGAAATCCTTCTCCTCCACGCCGCAACCCCACTCCGGGCTGGACATGCACCTTTATCTCATGCGGGCTGCTCCCTTGGAGCGGCACCGCTGCTCCCGAGGGAGCGCACCCCGTAGCCGAGTGCAGAGAGTGCTTGGGGGGCTGGTCGGCCTGTCCATTCGGACGGGCTCAGCCCCGGCGACTCTCTAGGGTGTCTGCCCAGACCAATGTCTCCCCCTAATTCCTATCATCCTTCCGGCTTTGCAATGGTCTTTTCAGACCGGAAGGGCCTAACCCAACAAAACAAACAAACAAAAAATAGAACGGACTATCGGAGAGGTAAAATGCAAACTCCCGATCAATTGCAGTGCTGACCCAAACGAATGATAAGGACATAACTGAGCTTTTTCAGCAGTTTTACTCATGTTTACTCGTAATCACTGTTTCTTCAATCGGTTATCTTCAGTTCGCATGCTACTTTGTGTTTCCGAAAAAAAACTACGAGTATGTTCAACACCAGTTAAAACCGCAAGTGGCATCTCGGATTTTTCCCAACAATCCCCGATTTCTTTTTTCGGCATCCACCCACAAAGGCGGTCACCTCACTCCCGGCTCCCGCTTTGTCCGGTTACCAAGCCCACCAAGCCCAGGACCAATTAGTCGAGCCGGGCGCCCGAGCAGCAATCGGTCGTTATCGCCGCAGGCCGACGCCAAACGATTTATCCTCCACCCGCCTGAGAAGATTGTTGTTGTTTAGCTCTGGATGGCCGTAAATGATGGTGGTGCGCCCGCCGCGGCTGTGTCTCAGCTACCCAGTGTGGGTCAGTAGCTCTCAGTGGTTGTAGACTATACAGCGGCGGGCCGACATCGGGGCTAACAGTCGTGCCGGCCGGTGAGG